TTTAATAAGTGGCTTAACATGAGAATTTTATCTACTTTTATACTTGCCTGATGCACATAACAGTGTGTTGTAAGTTTCTTCTTTTTCTATTCCTTCAGGCTTTATATTGAAAATAAAAAAAAAACAACAAAGAATAAAAGTTCATTTCTTTAAAGTAGGGGAGAAAGTATTTGTGAAAAATTGAGTTGTGGATACACTCCTTTACTCTTGGAAATGAACAGAGTTCAGACATAGTTAGATAATAATATATGATGAAGCTTTCAAGATAGGAAATATATTGACATACCTCAACTATTAAGGACTTTATCACAGTGTCCTTAAGTCCGAATGTTGGGAATTCAGTCACCTCATTGCCACATGTTTCCTGAGACTGTAGGGCTTCTGCAGTAGCTGTGAAATTCACCTTTCCTGAGGATTAAGGTTTGTAGGGAGTTAAACAGTTGTTCTGCATTGAATGGCTTTCTTCCTCTTAACCAGTGATTGAGGAGAAAAAGCATGTCTTGGGGTTTGAGGAGAAAGCAAATCATGGATTGTGAACAGCTATAGCACTCACCCAGTGACTTTGGGATCACAGCCCAAGACACAGTCTTCTGCCTATCTCCACAGACACAGTGAGATTCTTCATTATTCCCTTCTGAAACGGCCAGGAAAGCAGAAGAGACCTCCAGCTGCACTTTGACCTGCCCCCACACCCAAATGCAAGTTGGTGGCAGGACACAGGAAGAAAAATCAATCGTAGGAAGAAAAGCTTAGTACATACCAGTCCAAAGGGTGTGAGACATTGTTTGAACAAGTCGATCCTATCTACTACCTTGCAGTTTGGGCATTTACAATTAGGGAATTGAAAAACTTGCAGGAAAAAGGATAAATGCATCATGCCAATGCATGAAAAAGACATTTCTTTATAGTTAAAAAACTGAAGCAATCATGGGGAAATGGTATCTGAATTTTGGGAATAAACAAGAGGGGCCTCAGTGAAAATCATTGTAGATTTTTGTAAATCATAGTAGATCGGGCCTGCCAAGGTGGCTTTACTCTCTTCCTTTCTGAAATTAGGCTAAATCACACTTGGTTCTGATTTCCTGGGGGATTCCCTAGGAGCCAAAGGCAATGATGATCATGGTAACCACGTGCCTTTTTTCATGTCCACTCACTTCCAGAAAGATGCATTTACCTGGATGCAGTGGGACAAATAGTTGGACACAGTGGCTTTGAGGGTGAAGATTTCTCCTCGCACCACAGAGTAGGGGAGAGTGAGTTCCAGGAAGAAGGGCTGGAAGACTTGAAGAGAGACCGTCGGGGAAAGACCAAGCCCTGTGGTTCCAGACAGGCAGAGTGCACTGGCCTTCCACTCTGTGATGGTGTCAGGGGTCTTCAGGGCCAACTCGCTCTGCCCTGACAAACTAATGAGGGGGAAAGAGGATGGTGGTGAACAAATCTCATTTTTAGCTCAAGCCATCGCTGATCCTAGAACCTGGTGACTCAGTAAACTTGTGAGCTTGACCTAAGGTTTAGTGACCAGTGAGTCTTTGGAGGTCTGGCACTTTCTCTCTGGTCCCTTCTTCCCTCCCTTTCTGCCACTCTCTTCCCTCCTCTTTCCTCTCTCCCTCCATCCCCTTCTATATACTTTTCTTTTTCTCCTGTAGCAGAGAGGGTATTCTCCTGATTTCTATTATTTTAGTTATCTCAGGAGAATTTTTTTTT